AATCTGGCATCAGAGTGAGCTTAAAGTTGTGCATTGAGAAAAGAAAAAGAGCAAAAGAAGTCTATTTTGGCATTTGTGGTGTGTCTGACTTTCTCCTACTTCAGTTAGAGGCTGTGTATTGATTTTATATTAGAGCAGAGCCTCCATCTGGCAGCATTTTCATGTTATTTTTAAAAAGCAAAAAAGAGAAAAACAGACAAGGCAAGGAAGGAATGGAAAAATGGCTGGGCACATAATTCATTACGTGCTAAACGCATGAAAAATAATGGAAAAAATGAGTGAAAGAACCAGATCACCTCACATTTGTTTATTTACACTGTGAAACATCTGAATTGCAAAATGTTCTTTCTCTGAACAAATTTTCTGAAGTATTCACATTGTTATTAATTTGTTCGCTTTTTTTTTTTTTTACATTTAAAGAACATTCATGACCATACTGACATGGTCATGAACATTTTCATTATATTGTATGCTTCTGCAAATTAGGGATATGAACAACAGTAAATAACCAGAGCAGTAATAGCAGAAGGAGAAAATAAATAACTATAACTCATTATTTATTAGGATGCAACATCTTCATCATCAGGAAAATACAACATGAAGACTAGATTATATCTTTATAGTCTAGATATAGATACTAGAGTTCTAAATATCCACCATTTCCACTTTTCACCTTCCTGACTCAGTAATGCTAAAATGATGCTAGGATGATCCAATAGAGAGTATTCCCAGTAAACGCTGTATTAGAGATATCAAAAAGATTGCTGCCATATTTCTCTTGGTTTCCCAAAAGAAGATGGCCCCCGTGAGACCCCCTGAGCTTGTGGGAGTCACAAATCTCCCCTCTCTCCCATATGTAACTATATATGTCTTTGCAATGGCCCCAAAGGAGCTCCGTAAGCAGCACGTGCCCCAGCCATTGTCTGCCATCATCCATTGATTTGTTTCATCACAGTGATGGTCTCATGACAAATATTTAACATCCCACCATCTATTGACTGACACAGAGAGGCGAGGGTCAAACCTATATCTGCCCCCATTGACAGACAAATAAAAGTTCACCACAACTTTGGCTATGGTGATCTGAGTAGTCATTAATCATGTGCTTTATACATTTGCGAGTCTCGTAAGGCTTGGAAACTGGCATTTTGACAATCTGTTCTATATCATTTTTTTCTTCTACTGACCTAAAGATCCCATTTTGAATGTTTTTGCCGAAATGTATTCTTTTTCATGACCATTAGTAGTAAATGAGTCCAATCTTGGAGATGAAAATTCATCTGTAGGCCAAAGAGGACAAGCAGCCTTGTTGAACATCCTGTAGCATGTATTTCTCATATTATGAAAGAAATTATATACTACTGAATAGGTTCCCTGCACTTACAGTTTTACCTAATTTTGGGAGCATTTTGGACTGTGCAACAGCAACAAGGATTTTATTGTTCACTAAACTGTAGCAGGAGAAAAGAAGCTTAGAGCTGCAATGGTCCATGGCTCATGTATACCTCTATAGAACACAGTCAGTGATGATAGAGCTGTCAGAGCAGCAGAGGGGTCCTGGGCTGGAGCTGGCCCGGACTGTTCTGTGATTAATGGCTGGGGACGCGCCCCACTAATTGTAGTCCCTGACACAGGCACACGTCCTCTGACAAAGCAGGACAGGCCTGGAGCAGGGTGCCATGCTCAATCACCTTCAGAGGGTCCCTTCACAGGGTCCCTGTGTGCTGCACAGGGCACTTCAGGAGAGAGAGGTCACAGCATAGTCTCCGATGACAGTAGAGGAGAGGGCACCAGCGACATTCAGCCATTTAAGTTTGGAGAAGTCAGGCACATGCCGGGACAGGGCTTTAGGAGGACAAACACAGAAAAGGGGAGTCTAAGGTACCGTCCTAACATGAAGGGGGATTTAAGGGTACTTTATCCTGACTGGATTATCCTCATTGGATTTAAGTCTGCTGCTCGCCCTAACCCAATGCACCTGTTACAGCAGTTTCTGTATTGCTACACACACACTGTATAAAACTATATGGAAAATATCTACCCCAACTCTGAGGTATTATAGTAAACTTTGTACCAAAACACAAAAGACTGAAGAATACCTTAAGTGAGCGTAACAGCTTCAGCATGTAAATGTCCGAGCTGCTCCACCTGCCGCAGAGCTTTGAGATGGACAGATGGGAATCACTACAGACTCCTTCAGATTCACAGATACTCCTTCACTGCTAACCTCAGATGACACTAAAGGTTTTACTTGATAACTCTGAATACATCTGCACTTTGTTGTCAGGGAAACTGTACACTGAGATGCACATTGAAGTGGTCATGTTTTGTAGTGGCACTTTATGTGTGTGAACATTAATTGTACCTTGGTGCCCTGTTGTCTTGGGTCTAAGTCATTCAGACTGAGCCCCCCTGGTCCCTCTGTGGCCCCTCAGGCCCCCCAGGCCCCTGTGAGCTTCCCACAAAACCTCCACAATGCTATTCAAACAATAGGCCAGGGGACAAAGAGCACATTTACACAAGTGGAGCTTTCTTTGAAAGCAAAAAGGCACTGTTTGGAAGATTTCCAAACCTCTCCCCCAGAAACTCCAGTCCCCCCTTTGCACCTCCACTCCGCCTCACAATCCCCTCACTAAAAGTGCACCAGTGATGGAGACGTGGGAGCCAGCTCTACAACAGGCCCGGACCCACCCGCCAGTCCACAAGCACCCCCAATTTAAGCAAACCCCCTCTTTAGGGACAAAGGGCCTTTAGAGGGCAGACTATGTGAGGGCTCTGGTGGATGCCATAGTGGCTTAAAGACCGTGGAGGCCTCTCAGAGACACTTCTTTTAGCCAGGCCTCTCTCTGCTCGGCCTCTTTATCTAACTGTGGCCACTGAAAGGTTCAGAGGGGTAGAGAGAGTCGTCGTGGGGGGAGGAGGTGGACAGAGGTGGGGGTGCTCAGGGTGCTCTTGTGTCAACATTGTGGTATTTTCCCAAAGATGCATATCGCCTCTATACAAATAGGAGATGTATTTATAGGAGTACATAGAAAGCTGCATGAGCAGAGTGTTTGGCCGGCTGCTCTGGCCACAGCCCCCGAGGCTCCATGGATGGTCTTCATGGCTGCAGAAATTGTTATTCTTCAGCTGCGTGTTGGCTGGGAAACACACAAGTTCTCAGGCGACCACACAGTCCTTGCTCTCCCAATATGGCCGACATGCAGAGTAGTCCATTCAAGGAAAAGGTCCAGTACCATACATCTCGACTGGAGCCAATATTCCAGGGCCTCTTTGGCGCCGGTTCCCACACAGCTATGGCGAGACACCAGGCATTTTCTGTGGAAATGTTTTTCACTTTTCACACACTAAATGGTTCAGTCTGTTGCATAGGAATGGTTTCAAAAGGACTGCCACATTCAAAAACAAGTTAATAACAATAAGAACTTCCCATTTATAAGTAGTGTTAAAAATTAATTTGTGTTTTAGTTTTACAACATGATGGCATTATAGTTGGATAGATAGACAACAGATAAGGGTGTGGTTCTATAGGATACACTTGGTATGAGCAAATACAAAGCAGTTTAACTTCAGCTTTTGTTAACAATGGAAAAGCACGTGAACCTCTGCAAATATGCCCTACACACAGGATCAACTGTCAAAAAAACTCTCAAACTATTCTATAAGTGGAACATGTAAGATACCAAGACACTAAGTATAGGGAGTCTGAATAAACATTGCATTCATTTGAGTTTAGCTAGAAGATAACTATTAGAATCATACAACAGTTCCAAAATATTTTAAGTAGGGGTTTTAAATGACAATAATTGACTATGTAAAAATACATGTGTAATTTTGTTCAAATAGTCAGGTTCGCCCTTCTTCATGCTCCCATGTGACAGGCTTTAGTGTATTTATGCTCCTGTCCCGTGTCTCTCTGTGGAAGAAGCTGCTCCTCCATAGTCCTCCACAGGCAGCAACAGCAGCGAGCCCAGCCTGAGGCCCACAGCGGCTCTGGTCTGATCATTGTAGCCCTGTTAGCTAGCATCGACATCTCCACCTCAGAGCTGGCACTCAGGGGACGTATTGATTAGCATTAAGCATCCATGCAGATGGCCAATAAAGAGCAGGTGAGCCAAAGAGGGCCTGGGGAACAGCGCAGCAGAGAGAGAGAGAGAGAGAGAGTGTGTGTGTGTGTGTGTGTGTGTGTGTGTGTGAGGCTAAGTAAAACACAGATAATGAGAACAGGCTAATAATTACCCATGAATAGGCATACTACACAGCAATTCAGCTGAGTGGTAGAAAAATGAAATTAAACACTTGCCATGAGAAATAAACTGAACAGTATGTTTCAGTATTATTAAGTTATTGTAGTAGTTATTAATGCCCTAATTATAAGATTAGCCAGAGTCTAAATTCAAATGCAGTTGTATAGACCACAAATATGAGGTGTAATAATTATAGGTATTAATATTACTATATAATATTTACAATTTAAATAATAATAAGCACATATTGGAAACACACACCATAATGCATGAAACATACATTTGAAGATACAGATAATAGTTGTCTTATTTCTCTTATTGACCACAGCCTTTTATCCTAATCAAACTTCAATGAATTCAAAGGTTTCCCTTGATTTTTTATTACATTACAAAATAGACTTGACCAGCTTTAATCTTATATATAAGTATACATTCTACCTGCATTGGTTCAGTTTGGTTTGTTAATTTACCACATTATTCAAGTGAGCATGTGTGAATCACATAAATGCTTAGGATTTATAAGCTTGTGGGACTTACACCTAGTGGAGTGACTGTTGTGGTGCAAACCGCCCTGTCTCTAATATGGCTGCCCGTTTTGCATGCTTGTCAGGCAGCACGCGTCAGTCCACAACTTCCCTGTCATATCTGTCACTTGGAATAACTGCGGGCCCCTTCATATTTCACTGAGGATCCTAAGGGTGCAACACGAAGTCCTTGAAGAAGTCTATTCTGTTACACATACCGACACATATCCACCTTTAACATCATATTTATTGTTATTTAGTTACTCAATAAAACATATACAGATATATACAATATGCAGGAAAACAGACGACTGCACTTTACATATTATTTAAAAAATGAAAACGAACAGAAAAAAAATCAGTTTGTAAATTGCCGTCACAGTCCTCCATCTATTGTTTTCAGAAATTCAACAGAAGCTTTATTTCAAAGATTACAAGATTGCCTAACACACAGCAAATTTTATTTTATTATACATGTGCAATACCAATAGTCTTTTCACTTCCCTTATGAAACAACGCTAGACCACCACTGTCAGTGCCTATTGGCTGATTTGTATACAAGTGTTTGAGTTTTTCATGAATGATTATTAGCTATACGATTGGCTGGGGAAGTTAAAGCAACATGGATCTACAAAAATTTCATTCAAAAACATTAGCGGGTTAAAAACAATGGATTTTCTTCTTCTTTTGATTTACATTCATGCACCCCACTGTCCCAACTTTCCTTACAGCATTCCAATTTCTCCCTGAAAATTTAAAAAGGGCATTTGCAATTTACTAAGAAGATATTGTACACATTACATGGGGTCAATGCAGACAAGCTGTTAGTGAGCAAACGTAATGGGCCACAAGACTCAACACTCATATACAATCGAAGCCAATAACATCTGAATATTCGTCTTTCTCTTTTGACAATTTTCTTCAAATGAAATCAAAATAATTAAAGGAAAAAAAAATGATTTGAGGTTTTCCATAAGTGGGCGTAGCTGAGGAGAGCCCATATACTGTAGAGTCCAGCAGTGTGTGAGTAACCGAAACCATTTGTGTGTTGCATTGTAAGTGTCAAAATGTCCCTCTTCCCAAATAGGCAAGAGCTGCATGCTTCATCGACATTTCATCATCTCTGAAGCTTTTTCTTAAAATATTTTGTTTTGTTTTTCCTCTTCAAGTGAGCGCAGCCACGAATGTTCCGAAACGGTTGGAGATATCCGAGTGCAGGGACCTCCAGGATGTGACAGGCCCTCCTCGTCCTTTACTGTCCCCTGTTAGCTCATCAGTGCAGTGGACAGACAGGCACTGCAGGTGGGACCCTCCTCCAGTGGTTCCCCCAGCACCTCCCCCCGCTCCTGCAGCTGCCCCGGGACCACCAGAGCCAGGCTTACTCTGGGAAGACAGCTCCGGTTCTGTACAAAAGGGAAGAGAGAAGAAAAAGAGGTTAATTAAGATTTTATGAAATAACTGGAAGCTATTGGGTTTATTTGATACAGATGAGCCATTTAAAATACACACTTTTAATTAAACCAGTGTCATCGTCACATCCCACACAAAATCTGCTCTGTGAAATTAATTCAACACCACCACCCCCCAAAACAAAACAAAAAAAAACAAAAACAAAAAAAAAGGAAAAGGCTCTGCAGGGAAAAGCTTCCTGTTGCCATCCTCCCCCTCCCACCTCCACTGCTTAACACACATATAGAAGTGGAATGGTTACCAAACACATAGAAACAGAGGAAAAAGAGATGGGAAAAAAGAGGGAACAACAAAAACTTAAAATATTAGACTACATTTCAGATTTTTGTTATTTATTATTTATGTCACTGGACACACTCTCAGAATCAGTATGCTCCAACCTAGCCAATGGGGTGAGAGGTTATAGAGAGAACTGTCCTTTGACCCTGCTTGACCCAATTTACTGCTATAATAGCCGTGCCATGGAATCGACCTTATGTCACCCAAGTGTGAAGGCTAATATTAAATGGTCACACCAGGCTTCAAGGAAATCTATACGCAGCGTGACTGTGGGATCAGATAGGATACGCTCTCTGCTGACACCTGAGAAACACCTTAGAAATGTTGTACAGCTCCAGTGGACTAAAAGGATTCAGACAAGAGAGTGTAAACTGCACAAAGACAAAATCTAGGCTGAATCTAAAAAGAATAATGGACAAATGAAATAATGACAATGTTAATGGTATGTCAATATAATTTGTCCTGTTCATTGTGGCATTAAATGTCAGTCCTGTTTTTTATGACGAACTGAGTTACATGTTTCAGAACTTGCCTACATATCACAGAGTGAACATCCAAACAGCACTTTTTAGTCCTTAGAATTTCACCCAATTTCTCTGTGCTCCCTGTGACTGAAACAATTTGTCGTTTTGATTTCCCAGAGCCAGGGGCAGCGGTGTGAGTGAGCGAGTCTAACCTGAGTCGAGCCAGGACAGACAGACGTGAGCAAAGTGCCCCTGGTGTGTCTGGGCTGCAGCCACTGGAATGGAAAAGTGAGGGATTTGGTAAAAGGTCATGTGGGCGGGCAGGCCTCCCCGCTGCTGCCTGCTTCATTTGTGTGCGACGCCTCACTGTAGCTCCTCTGTCTTATGTGAAGAGCAGACACACAGTGGTAGTGATGGGGGGAGGCAGACAAGATCTAACATTAGCCAGAGGGTTTATCCTACACCTCAGCATGGCGGACCCCCACCCTCTGTGTCCCCACGCACACTCCCTCTCTCTCCCCACGCTCCAGCGCTGTGCCCCGCAGCAGCTCATGCCGCCTGGGCACAGCAGGCTCCACACCGGCCTCAATAGGCAGCCAAGCGTTCCCCAGGCTCATTGCTGACACACTGCAAACTGACAACACACAGGGCCAAGGAGCACAGTGCAACTGCCTCATCCACAACAGAGAACACCAGTCCTCGGACGGTGCACAGCACTTTTGAGGAAGAAAATCTCATTTCTTTAAATGCAACATTTTTAGGATATTGAATTCATAAAGTAGTAGAAGCATTAAGCACCCAAAAGCAGTAAAACTCTCTCTATAGAAGTGGCATATGACTTATGAAGTGCAATGAGATTTTTACACACTGACACACTTGTATGTCAGTTGTGTGTATTATGAGCAGAAACAGCAGTGTGAAATTGTACATCACACAAGTCAAAATCCAAAATCACCATGACATTTTACAAGCAGGGTTTTATTCCACTCAGATGATCTTGTTATGGCTGTTTTGTCACTAATATGGAACTCATATCAAGCATAATATCACAATAATAGCCATTTCATCTGAGGGAAACAAGTGCTTAGCATCAACAAGCGAAGGGGAAAATACCCAATAAGAGGCGCAGTTTGAGCACAGCCACTACACTTAGTCACAAAATGTTCCGTAATACCCGTAACCACATTAGAGCCTGCAGAGCTGCCTGCTGCCATGTGTTCAGTAAACACACTCTTTAATGTGACATACTTATACGGATGTATTTCTAACACAAGGCGCAGTAATTGTTATTTAGTGCTAACCTCGAGTAGCACACACGCAAACAGATCATTTACACGGAGGAGTACAGCTTCAGAAGACATCAGGAAGTTCACCTGGCCTGTGTCCCTAACATTTGAGAAATGTGTCATTATTTTAGTCTATCTTTGTATTGCACATAAATTAAATCAACAAGGCACATTTCTTGTCTGTTTCTCAGCAGCAGAGGCAACATTGATTTCCCAAGTCCCAGAATGCCGTGCGGCAGGCCTCTGCTCTTTCTATCCCAAGCTATACTTCCATGACAACACTTCACCTCTGACCTACTGCTCCAGAGGGCATGACCCGATCCTCTCCGCACAAAAACAGCCAATCAGAGAACAGTGCTGGCTGACAAAACCGCCCAAAGGCCTTGGCTCCTGTGACAGTGTGTGACATCAGGTCAGATTCCTTTAGCATAACAACTAGCAGCACAGTCACAGTGAGGAGCAGCTCTTTGTCAGCTAAACAAGTAGCAAGATGCACAAAGAAAATACACTAAATATAAGAGAAGCAGGCAGACCTGTAGATGCAGTGCAAGAGCTCTATGCCAAATAATACGTGCTGATGTTGCTGTGTTGAGTAGATGTGCACAGGTATGTACATTAGGACAGTGTCTGAAGCCTACAGCCCAGCTGCACAGAGCAGAGTGTGACCTTTCCTCAGAGCAGCAGGGTCTCTATGGGAGCAGGGGCCACTCTCCAGGAGAGGGCACTGGGGTTATTTTGGTTTGAATTTCCTTTCTGTTCTATGGCCTGCAGCATAAAGACTCAAAAAAAGGCTAACTTGCCCAGGCAGGCATTGCCCCTAGCATTTGTTACCTTCTCCAGCCAAACACTCTTTCCCAGCGCCTGGTCTAAATGGCCCTCTCACACACACAATCTCAGCCTGAGGCCAGGAGCAGAGCTCAGAAAGCACACACAAATCAGAACATGGGACAGTGTGATTTAGGATCTCCTTCATAACTCACTGCATGTCCCACACTTGTCCGTCATCTCATGCCACTCAGTGACATATTGATCTAGTTCCCTGTCTTTTCTGTTTAAAGTGGCGCTACACACTTCGTAAAACGTTTGCTATGTATGACCTTTGTGAAGAGGTCAACTTATGTGGTAATTTAAAGATTTATGGGCACCTGTGTGACCTCTAATATTTACACAATTGTACTAAACATAGTACAAGGGGGAAATTATGGCCAAAATATCCTGTGAATAGGTAATTGATGATCTAAATTATTTCATTCAGAAACGCTATAAAAGCTAAGGGAAAAACTACATATGTTCCCAGCACCAAATACAATCCTACTACTACTTTGCTTTCACTCCATCAGTCATCGCCTGTGTCTCTGAGGAGGAACAGCTACGGTGTCATAACTCATTTGTCAATTCCTCAATACAAATTAAAGGCGCCTGACGACTACCTGTACGGCAAATAACATAACTGCTGTTGGCAGCATGACAACATCTACACCTCTGAAAACACCCCCACTGCTTCTCAGAGCCCAGTGCCAAAGCAGGATCTTTTAAATGTCTCTTTTGTGGGCCTATCGCAGTGGAAGCTTCTCACTGGGACAGTGCACGGCATGTGCATTAAAGTCAGGACATAATACCTTCTCACATTTCTAGGGCTTTTTGCTATAGCACAATATTAGAAAAACATGTTTAAAAATATCTTAGTTGCTATAAAATTGGTATACATTTGGAAATGAATTTAACTTATAAACTACCAATAATAATCTAACATGTATACCTATAATCTAGGCCTTAACAAACCTAATAGTTTTTAAATGTAGTTTTACAATAAAGCAAAACAAAATATAAACCGCAAAGCACACTTGCTGCAGCGCAAGGAGTGGAGTAAATAGTTCTAACAGAAAGGAATGTGAGAGTGCTCTCGAAAGCAGGACACCTGAGACCAGAGTCTAAATAAATCAAACTTTATGTCTAATGTCTCCTAATCCACACACTATCAAGTTCCACTGTCTACAAAGCTGCTCAACAGTGCACACCACAGCCTCACAGGCACACTTCACACAGTGGGTTAGAATGTGCTTTTCTTCATAGCCCTGATCAACATGCCCAAAACCTTTAAGGGGGCCTGCGGGTAAATTATGACTTTTGGAAATAATATTACTAGGACTAATTGCTATGATTGTCAAAATGATTATCTTCAGAGTAGCAGTGCACAAAAGGAGCGCAGAAGTGTGTTGCAGGAAAAAGTCGATATAATACACCTTGTAATGACAGGTAAAGAACAAGTGCCCAGAGCAGTCATTTTTTCATCTCCAGCATGTGCCAATCACTTTCTTCTTTTTTTAGACAGGGAAATAGAAATTGGGGGTGTGATTTGTAGGGTTATTGTCACAGTGAAATGTCAAAGGAAGGTAGTCTCATAGGATTGTTCGGCGTGCAAGAATATCAATACACACTTTTCTGTGGATTTGAGCGCTTTAGAACAGCTTCAGATAAGAGCAAAGATCTCTTTTATCGAAGCTGTCAAACGCAGACTGACAAGGATTTGATCATTATTTTACACGACTGATTACTGATTATTGTGAAGCATAAAAATATTCCAAAGGGTCAGATCTGAAGTCTTTAAAAACTGTTTGCAGAGAGGAGATGCGTGTGCCAAGAAGAAAGTAAAAATAACTGAATCACTTCCTACATTCGCAGCTCAACTCTTATCAAGACTTTGCACAAGTTTCCAAAAAGAACGGTCTGCTTCTAGTTTGAGGCAACTAGCTATAAGAAGATAGTAAAAATATGTATTTATTTAATGAATAAATTGTTATGAGTAACACAATTTCACACACTTACTAAGAGACTATTGCAACTAACTACAGATAAACAAATGAACAAACTACAAATAACAAAATATAAATTTTTATTTTTATAGAAATAATTCTGATAAAAAATAAATAAATAAAAAACATTTAATAACTTTTTGGTAAAAAAAAAATGTATATTATACCACACCATAATACTCTTCCTTAAACAAATGTCTATGACTAGGCTGTAGGATGTAGGCCCATTCAAATACTATAATGCACAATCCTCCAAACATAGCAGTATGCCAAATTAAACTGAAAATGATTATAACTAATTATTATTTCAATAAATAAATAATGTTTCAAATTAATTATACATTTATGCAAAAATATTTTCATATCTGACAGACACAGCCTAAACAATTATGAAATACTAAAACTACTGGCAAACACCAAACAGGTGAAAATGTAACAGGATAATTGAGCTAGTATAATAATAAATCAAAGAGTGGATTTAAAGCTATACGCTATTTAAAGCTAAAGCTATAATTACAGCCCATTATAACGTATTTATAGTGGACAAAGGAAAAAAAAAAACGCAAAATGCTTTAAAAAAAAAAAGACATAGTATTAGGCCTACATATTAACAGCTGAAGAAATTACAAAGTAAATGGGTGATTTAAACGTTATTTTCTCATTATTGGTATTTTATACGAGGAAAAATAGTAGTCCTAATAATTTTGGAGGAAGAACGGACGCCAGGCGTTGGGGGCGCTTAAGAAATGCCACAATACGGTCTTATCTGAAATTATTATGTTATTTAGCTCCCTTCTGTGTAGCCTAAGCATCAGATTCAATCTTCCAGGGCCCCCTCCCCTTCCCAAATACACCTCCACCCTTTTTCATCTCTGCTGTCTGAAGCACTCAAATGAGAAACTGTCAGGAGCCGTGATTTGTGCTAACTAGCTATCGATCCAGGCTCTACTGCTGCATGGCTTCGTCCATGCAGCAGTAGGAGACGAAGAGGACGACGGCGGAGCAAGGCCAGAACGCACGGCTTTTTACTGTTGTGCGTCTTGCGTGATGTGCGCCAAAACATGCCAAATGCAGGCCGAGTCACTTCTTGGAGTTTGTTTCTACTTTAGACCCACCTGTAAATAGCCTATAATTTTACCGAAATTATCTGTTCAACTCAAACTTAATAAATTACTGGCAGTGGCGTTCCGCGCAAACTTCCCTCAAGTGTCTTTAACACAACCCAAACACACTGACACGACACAGATCTGTTAAAGATGACCATGTGGCACGTACACGCACTAATGGACAGTGGTCAGTGAGTGACGCTTCTTCAGTGTTCGCGCTCAGAAACAAAGCGACTGAAAGCGAGAGTGGAGACGGAGCGCGCGCCCGTTTCTGCAGCCACATGAACAAAGACGGGTCTATGGAAACTACTGATAAACACAACATTCACACTGACTATCTGAAAATCATGTATATTAGCCACAAACAATCGCCAGACCAAATAAAGTAGTGCCAACTAGAAGCCAAAAATATTAATAGTCTATAAGGCTATATTATAATTGTTATTAAATGTGAGCAATTTTGACACACATGAAGGTTTTGAAGTGGCATTCAAATAATACAAATGTGCAGCTATCAAACGGATTTAGGGTATAATTAGATTTTTAAACGCACATGCTGGAGCAGAAAATCAGTAATAACACTGTGAATATCTGACCAACCATCCTCTGATAGTAACAAAAACAAACAGAGGCAGGGAAACCCTTGTGCGTGTGCACATCCTCCAAAAGCTATTAATCTTCTCAATGCAGTTGTTCACCCTGAAAACTGAGATAAAGAACCACGGGAAATGTTTACTTTACTGTAGCTTTCCCTTTGAAATGGCAGCACTGAAGAAACACACTAAAATATAGCTAAGGCATTTACTATGCATCCTGCTAAGTATTACCCAAATGCAGTCTGATACTCCCACATTTATTTATAGTTGTAATGATTGCAATAAACTGAATTCACAAGTAATGTGTAGGCTTGTGGTTTGTTTGATTGTCATAGTTATATTTTGAATAAGTGCACAATGTATGCATAGATTTATTTGGTATATAATTTAAATGCAATGTGTTGATATAGGTGAGATATTAACTAGCATAATGCAGGCCTACATGTCATAATTAAATTTAAACAATGAAATATAAATTGTCTTTACCTTCTTTTGAGTTAATTTGGTTCTTGTTTTTTTCCCAGGGTCCCATGGCCTTGTCGTCCTCTGACCCGTCCATCATGGCTTTGTCGCTGGGCACGTACCAGGTGGCATGCTGCTCTGCCATCAGGGTGTCAAGGTCAATAGTGCCCATTGAGCCCTTCCCAGCATCCGGGCTGCAGCTCGCCAGCTCATTGTCTTCGTTCTGTGAGGAACCGTCTCCGTTCTTTTTGCCGTTTTTTATGGCCAAAGGCTGGTCCTCGGATATACTGAACTGCTGCCGCTGGAGCTGGATCTGGGCCTGGAGGATCTCCAAAGGGTGGATCTCGTCTTGTCCCGAGGTGCTGGAAGGTGTGCGTACCTGCTCCACTCCAGGAGTGCCCGGGTGGCTCACTCCTCCGCCTGTGCCTCCAGTATTTAGTCCATAGCTGTCAGGTGTCGAGGTAGTGTGATTGTTAATGCCCGGGGGCTTCTGTCCGTTTATCAGCCCATGTTCACCTCTCTGCACTTTGGGGGAGCCAGTGAGCATGGGGCTGCGGTTAGACTTGGCGGCAGAGGCCCCCCCAGCGTCTGAACTTGAGGACACCTCATCCTCGTTGCCGAAGTGGGCGCTGACATCGTCAGAAAAGTCCACTCGTGGAGAGCTGCTGTCAGACTTGGCCACACTTTGAATGCCACTGTCCAAAGATGACATCAAATCAGCCTGGTCCCCCAGCATCAGGTCACCTCCTTTACCCCAGGAGGGTGAGTGGAGGTGTTTCTCATTAGGGGTGCCCCCTCCCCTCTCCCCAATGCCAGCTGTGGGGGTTTGCTGGCCTGGACTTACAACAGGGTTACCATTGTCAGAGGAAAAAAAAATTCCAGGGCTTACATGTCCACTGTCTCTTTTTCTCCTCCCTCTCCCTCTCCCACTCCCTGTTGTTGCCTTCCCCTCACTGCACGGGGTAGCGTCCATGTTGTAATTTGGGGAGAGGGCACTGGCTTCCCCCTGCACCGTCTGGCTTTGACTGGCAGGCTTAGAGTTGCTATTCCCGGTGCCAGGCATCTGGCTGTTCTGGGAAGTACTGCTCTGAAAATATTCCGGACCAGCACTGCCAGTGCCATTAGATGTGCTGCTATTAATGTCCTGTTCTGTCTGACTCAGTTTTCGTTTGCCCTCATTTTGGTTCTTCTTGTTGAATGTTACGTTCAGATTAGGTGCTCCTAGGCTAGCAATCATGTTCTGGCAGGCTGTAGAGAGGGCCGCCAGGCAGCTCTGGCCAAAAACACTGTCTTTAGAGCTGGTTTTGCTGAAATTCCCAAGGGACAGTGCTCCCAGCTTACTAACGGACGAGCGCTGACCTGAGGGAAATTCAGACTGGGGTGGGAAGCTCCCAGGTGAAGTGCTCACCCCCTGGGGACCAGAGTGAGCAGGGCCCTGGCGGTTAGCTCCTCCATAGGGGTAGTTTGGCTGAGCCCCCATTGGAGGTCCAGAAAAGTCAGCAGGCCTCCTTTCTGAGGCAGAGTTGGGATGCCCTGCGCCTGCTCCTGGAGACTGCATTTGAGTGAGGTTAGCCATATTGCCACTAAACTGTGAGTGAATGCCCGGTGAGTGGAGAGCCTGGACATCTCCTGGTATCCTCATGGGCTCCTGCATGCCCATGCCGGGCCTAAACATCATCCCAGCACCACTCTGTTGCATACCCATGTCGTGAGGCCCAGACTCATTACCAGCCCCACCCATACGCCGTGACATCATCTCCCCTGGAGGGTGGGACCCCTGGAACCAGGAGTTCTCCTGAGTTATATGAGGATTCTGTCCATCAATATTGGGCACTCTGCCACCATTTTCCCTGTCAAAGTTGGCCTGGGACATGCTCCCGACCGGGCCAGCATGAGTCATGGGACCTGGAGGCATGTCGCCGTGGTGACCCAGCTGCTGTAAACTGGGTTGTCTCATCCGCTGCTGCTGGTTTCGAGATGCCATTTGTTTTATCATCATAGCTGCATTCTGTCTCTGCTGCAGAGACTGTTGCTCCGGGCCTGGGTGCTGAAGTGGCCCTGGAGGGAAGCCCTCATTCACCGGAGGGGTGAACTCACCAGGCAGCCCAGAATAGGCTGAAGGGGAGAGATGGTTGTCCATCCCCCCACACCAGCCTTCACCGCTATGTGCATTTGGAAAGTCAAATCTGGGCCTTTTGGCCATATTCATGTAAGGGGAGTCAAAATGTTGTAGTCGCTGGTTTGGAGGTTGTTGGGAGGGAGGAGCGGGCTGTTGCATATTAAACATGGGGTCCCCATAAGGATGCAGACCCCTGTTTTCTAGTCTATGAATGGGATATTCAAACTGGTTGTGTTGGCCAGGCATCATGACCCCACCGTCTAGAATGTTGGGGTTAGAGTTGGGCTCAGCCTGAGGGGGTCGGGGGAGGCCAGGGGGGCAGGAATTCTGCCTGCCTATCAAGCCAGCCTGTTGTTGCTGCTGCATGAGAGGATGTCTCGCAACTCCAGGCTCTATTCCCACAGGCACCTTTCGACCATTTCCAAAACGCTCAAAAAACTGCTGGGGCTGTGGGGGCTGATGTCCTTTAGATATACTCTGTATACCTGGGGTACGGGGCATGCCAGGGTTAGCAGGAAAATTTCCACTGGGAACAGGCCGTCCAGGGCCAAAATGGGGTAGCTGTGACTCTGAATCAGATGGTGAAAAGACAGGAACATCAAAATGTCCAGATGGAGGTTCACTGGTAAAGTTATATTCTAATCCTTCGACAGCACCCTGGTTAGGCATTCTCCGAGGCTCTAGGCCGTGGGACTCTGACGATGAGGATGAAGGGAGTCCATGGAAAGATGCTGCCCGGTTTGGGGACTGGTCAAGGGGAAGGCAGGGGGCAGGAACAGCACCACTGGGAGGACCATGATGCTGAAAGTCAGGGAGGTTACCAGTCCGCTGCTGCTGAGGAAAACCCTCTCCTGTTTGCCCCTCAGACAGAGGGTCAAATCCCTCTCCAAAACCTTGCTGTGGTCCCATGCCATTGTTGTTATAGCCCATGAGCCTGCCTCCATGCAGACATGAAGAGCCAGACTCTGGGCCAAAAGTTCCGCTGAAGTGAGGGTGGTGCTGTTGGGGATGAGGCTGGTGGCCATGGGGGTGTCCTTGATGAGGTTGCTGGTTGTTGAAGAATCCATGCATGGGTCCCTGCTGCTGCAGTCCGCCAGGGTGCATGTCCGAATGGGGCCGCGGGTGGAAACCCCCGTATTGCTCTCCATTCATGTTCATGTTGAGGCCGAGCATCTGGGGCTCGCTCATGGGGCCCATGCCGGGCTCCACGGCTCCCGGTGGGCCTCCAGCGTGAAAGCCGGGGCTTTTAGTGGGAGCCCATGTTCAGTCTTGGTTGGTTTATGTTTCTCTCAGACTGGCCAGGGTTTCTGCTATTAATCTGGGAACCAAACTGCTCCAGCCCAAACATACTCCCCTGCAATCAATCCCACATGACGGCTGCTTTGCCAGACATCCGCGCGCTGTCTTCTGCTCCGTCTGTACCCAAAAACAAAACAAAAACAGAAAAAGTACAACTAAGTAAACATGTTTGCACGACCATTAACTGAAATATGTGTAAAAAAAAATAGTATCACTCACCGGATCGCTTCTCAATGATGCGGAATAATTGTTAATTCTCCAAAGGTGCGAGTCTATGTCCAAGTACGCACGTAACCGGTATCCTCGCCTTTTCTTTTTTACGTCCGAAAATTGACATAATACGTGTACTTTCTATGCACGCTTGAGAGGTCAAAGTATTTTCCGATACGCATTTCTTCGTGGCACAAAAACATTGTCTAGATAAGTGGAAAAAATAACCAGTTCTGTTTCATTATTCCTGTCCAATGGCAATTGTCCTGGAGCGACTTTTTCTTAAAGATCCCATCCTGGAAAGACCAAAAGTCAAGTGGACTATACCTCCTTGGTCATGTTCTTTATAAGCAAGAACTAGTGTCCTTCAAATGATCAATTGCAGAGGAGGCATGTGACCAAAACTCCGATGTTATTTAAAGTCCGAAGATGCAGGCAGCGCAGGAGTGCACGGTCCCAGTAGTGTCCCGTGCCGTGCCGGGGTTCCAGACCGCACAGCGCCTTTACAGCATCTTTCTGCCACTGGGGCCGGGTATACGCTGTTCACTGAAGCACTCTGTGATTTAAGGTCCTCGGCGCATGCTGTCTTCCATGTGCGTCCCTTTGTCGTATCTGTTTTGGTGTGAGAGCACTGGGAGCGATTCACAAATACACTCTGCTGTGTCGCTGAGCACTGTGTGAGATCAACGCGTCCAGGCGAGCCAGCAACAAGTTTTGCATTTCTGCAGCCACTTCCATCCGTGGGGCTTTAGCCAATCAGAAGCGCACATGGGAAGCTTAAAGGGCGGGACAAATGTTTTTTAAGGTCGTCCACAAAGCCGAATACATTGTAATAAACTGTGCGTAAAAGTGCTCTTTCTTTTTTCTTTTCTTTTCTTTTCTTTTTTTTTTTTTTTTTTTTTACCAAATCTCCAAATCTTTAATCTGTGACTGTTTGTACATTTTTTCTAGTGTTTGGGTAGGAATAATCTTTTCAACCTTGTTTATTTAGGCTATATAAAGCGAGTACAGCATGTGAAGTTTTTACCCAAATGACCATGGACATACTGTGACAATAACTGTGGTTAATTCCACATATAATTATACGGAGAACAAAATTTGTTTTTCTTAGTTTTTATGACTGTGAAGATGCCCAAGGAACACAGAACTGTGAGCACACTAGCCCAACACGGAGCCGCCCTTAAAAGACAATCTAGACTAAATCATGTGGGTGATATTGGACCACACTTCCAATAATCAATGGTATTCTCTCATTATAATAGTCTATAAAATGGAACAATCCTGCAATAGCAAATTAGGATAATGAACAATATGGTTTAATTAGTGATAAGACTTCTGTTAAGCATATCAAATTGCCACAATACTCTTTTTATAGACCTATACACTATACGAAACATTTGATCACGATCATGTAGACCTAGACTTCAAAATTTTAGACTAATTCTTACAAATTTTTAACAATATAAGTTCAACAATACATTTTTTCTCCTTACATGGTTTTGCCAGTTATAGCCTACTTTTAGGCTATTTTTATTTGCTTTAGAAAAATCAGTAGACTGTATCTGATACAAAATCATTATTTTGTCTTTTTTCGCTAACCTCCTCATCCTTCTCAGTCAGCGAGCGGTGGCTACTGGTCTGTTTGACGTGTACCTTTAGGAAATAACCTGGATGACTTTTAGCAAACAAACACAGTGCCATCTAGTGTTCAATGTGAGACAGACAGTACGGTGGGTCTAAAACCTGCTCACTATTACTATTTTGTTAAATAGTAGAAAAAAGTAGTGAAGAATAAAAACAAATATGTAAAATCATATTCAGTAAATAACCATTATTAAAGCCAATTTTAACAGATTTGTATCATGTATGTATTTTTATTGACATACATGCATATAGTTGATAACCAGTGGTGGAAAGAGCACTGAAAATGTGTACTAATGTAAAGGTAGTTAGTTATATGGCAATAATGTACACAGTTACAAGTACTGATAGAGAGAGACAGACAGACAGACAGACAGATATTTTATTGATTCCGAAGAAAGTTCAGGGACAACAGCCTGTCCCCAAAGGTGCTGCTGCCAGAATTGTACTTAAGTGTGCATGAAAAATACTACTAGCACTAGTTCTACTACTACTAATGTCTATTATTTAAAAAGTAATTAATTACAATTACATAGATGGAATAGAAGATAGAATTTTACTCAAGTTCAGAGTTAAAACTCTACTCAAAAAATGAATTACCACAAAAATCTACTTCATTATAGTAAGAAGAGTAAGTAATAAGTTACTTTCCACCCGTTACTAGCCCGTTCTGGAGCCAAATTCTAAAAACGTAGACCTACATGCTTTTATTTATATGAGATCATTCCAAAAAAAATTTAAACTGGACAGAATAAAATCAGAAAGTAAAGTGGCCTAATCCTAATAATTTCTGTATACATTATCACTGTTCCTACATTATATGGACACAAATGACACGAACACTCTTAAATAATGCCATCTTCTACTTTCTCTCCAGAGTCATTCATGGGCAGGCAGCTCACAACTGATGTACTACTGAGAGTGTGAACAGTGTCCAGAGCTTCATGCTGTCACAATACCACTCCTCCTGCACTGATTTACACCTCCATTTGTCTCAATATTTTACTGGACAGGACATGGCAACACAAGTGGGTGTCTCTCTATAGCCCTTAATTCATAGTACTGACTTTTTCCTCAGATAGACATATGAGTGCGGGGCAGTTCCTTCCCATATTGAGGGTCCTGTCCCATGGCTGCAGTGTTCTCTTTGGGCTTGTCACTCACTTGGGCCATCTCCGAGTCCTGGGTCAGTGTGGGTTAAGTAGCATCTGTCATCTAAAGAAGCACTATTGTGTGGATGCTACCCCGTTTTGGACCATTACCTTCCTTCTGCTAGGCTGGCTCCACACCTTCACAACAACAGGAAAGAAATCTTGGAGGCTAAACTTGACCTGGGCACAGAGGATGAGGAAACGCTCTCTGACATCACTGCAGACTTATTATAAGCCAAAAATAACTGTCTAGTACTGAGAAAACCTGCGGCGCCTCAACATATCTGGGCACAGGGGAGATCAGAAACGCAAACATGTACTGGGAACTTCCTCCGAAAACATCAGATCTGGGAAATGTGATTTCAGTGATGTACTTTTCAGATTTTAATGTGAAATTCCAGGTAAAATAGACTCCAATGTGAGATTTCAACCTTACAACTTTGAGTGAACGGTCATTGAGCGACTTAAAAATAAATTATTCATTTTGAAAGGTATTTCAAGGACTTTACTATTTTGAGATGCATCAGTTCTTTTAGTAAAGAGCAAACAAATAGGTACAGCTAATACAGATTTGAGAACAGGTATGGGCACTGTACTTCTAGGTTATACGGAGGGCATCCTCACCAACCATTGTAGTGCAAACATTTTCATTCCCTTTCATTACAGTGCAACTACTGGTATGTTTTTTTTTTCTTTTTTGGCTCTATTTAAGGAGAGCACATTGTAACAAATCAATTTTAAGTTTGGTGTCCATGACAATCTGCAATTTGAGCATTTTTTTGTTTTGTTTTGTTTTTGAAATTCTGGAGTCTTATTTTATACCATATTTAGCCCTAATTTAAGCCTGATCAACTCCAGTCTGGTGGTATTTAGAAAGCCATATTAGGTGGTACTTTGTGTGGAAAAAACACTTTTTATTATATAGGAATAGTGACATTTAAAAGAGAAAATCTCAAAGTCACCTTATTTAGCAGAGGCTGCTTGGACACTTGTCTGCCATAGAGAGCTGAACAGGAGGTGTGTGGGCGAGCCTGTCCATCTCCTCTTTTAGAAACCACATTATTTGCTTGTTCTGGGGCAGATAGAGCTGGTTTCCTCACAGTGGCCACATGTGACTGTTCCGCTGCAAACAATAAATAGGTGCATATCTCAGCCAACAGACTGTGGCTTTTCCTGCTCTTTAGCGACAATTCCGCTGTTATTGTGAGACGGGACCACAGGTCACCAATAGGTCACCAATAACTTGGACTGATAATAAGATGATATCCTGCCTGCTGCACTATACACTATCATTGATTGATATATTTAAATGAAAAATGAAAAGCAATTCTGCACAAATTTAAAGGGTAATTTATTTGATATTTAGATACAATTATTGACTTTATGGCACACGCAAGACCCACAGAAAGAAGAGGCAGAAAATATACATTCATTACCACATCCCCTGAATTTAAAAGGTTGATTTGAAACAAGGACATTCAGGAAAGAAAAACAGAATGTCAATTTTATAAATAAAGGCAACACTGTTTGGGATAAATTGACTCTTAAAATGTTTTACTGTTGATTTTATAGTTTTTGTTTTGTAGACCGCCACATTCTGAAATGCAAATACGAATTCATTTTTACTGCACTTTAGGTCATATTTACAGTAGAAAATAGGTGACTGTAAATGAAGGCAGCTTTCGCATTATAATGAACACAGTGTACAGACACAACTAAAAGGCAACATTACAGTATGATTGTTCACCTGAGAATATCATCCATTTAAAACGTCACTGCAAAATCTCCTGACAAGTGTCTTATAAGTTGGCAGCCTATGAACTGAATACATGTAAACACACATTAGAAAATCATTCACTCTCTTTGGACTAGCCTAGAAGCCACTGACATGAACTGACAGAAATCATGAACAGAAAATCATCTGCACAGTAAACTAAAAATCAAACTAGTTTACAAACCATCAGACACAGATAACCCCCCCAAGAGAGCAGGCTTGTACAGGAAAAACACATGATTGAAGCAAACGTAAAAAGTGGCACCTCCACATGTCCTGGTTTGAGGCACATAGAATCTCTTGTACAGCCACTACTGTGCACTGTTTCAGGTTTTGGCTGCAGCGTGATCATTTTTGCCTGGTTTCACAATTGCACTTGTTTGAAATATACAAGTTGAAAAATAGGACCTAAAAACTTTCATGCCATTATTTAAACAGTTAGCTCTTGTAGCAAACATCTCTGTGAAGCAAAGGAGGTAGCGTTGACTGATAGCAAAGGTCCAGCGTTTTGAACAGACTTGAACAAAGAGGTCTGAGCATTAAGGCAAAAAGGTGCTGGTGCTGAATGGCATCACTATAAGGCTATACTGAATCTGTAAACACACAAAGTGAAGATAGTTGGGCTGTCTGGTCAACTAGCCCACACCGGTAGAGCCAGATGAGTAAGACAAGTCTCTGGGGCGGGCATGGCGTGGTGTGGTTTGCCTTGTCACCACGGCTGTAGGGGTGTAGCACCATCTGTGGCTGTTTTTCTGTGAGGTGTTTTTTCCTCTGGGGACATCTGTTGGGGGGAGTTGAACGCTGCAATGTATGTGTGAACGTCTCTAAAATAAGTAGGAGTGCAGTTAGGGCGTGTGAGAGGCGGGCTTGTGTGATCGCTGTAAACATTTCGGAAGCAACATCCAGAAATGAGCATGCACAGATCTGCCCAGCTCAGTCACCAAGAAAGCATCCACACCTGGGAGACGACTTGTGCATGTGTGTCACGGGCAGTTTGTGTAGATTTCTATTAAGTGGGATACCTGTCCGGGCATGATTGTCAGAGTTAATAAGATGTGGTGCACTGTGGAGGAGTGATGGGGAGTGATGTGTTGTGGTAGGGAGAGGGGAGGTGGGGTTACAATGGGCCAGGGCGCCAAGAGTGTTAGTAATCTCCTAAATGGAGGCTGTGGCAGGAAAGAACATGAGTATGACATACTCATGCCAAGGAATGCAGCTACACTGCACAACATGTGTACAGTGAGGCAGGTCATGGAAAGACATCTTTGTAACGGGAATGTTTCTGAGATGCAGACAAAACTGGTCCAATGCCTGCCACTGTGGAATGGGAAATCTAACATGAAAAGCCCGTTGCTGTTCCTTTGGAGTAGAAGAATCATCTTCTATCATGATGCAGACTCTTGTTTATTTTAGCCACATAAATCAGAATTTAGAGGACTTTAGGGCAGTCTTGTCAGCTAGGATTGTGTGTGTGTGTGTGTGTGTCTTAAGAAAATCAATTCCTCAGTAGATAGAATGTCTAAGATTGGGTGCAGCTCTGGGATCTGCTCTAGTGATTACAGGTGCAGCAGAGCCCCTCCTCCATGGCCAGAATTAGTTAATCAGGTAAAACGTGGCATCAGAGAAGTTGGTTTAAAATTCCATGGGCTTTCATTCATCGGCAGCACTGGTTCCTCGTACACCACCTCTTCTACGAAGCTGTGGGGGGAAAAAAACAGATTGGGTAGATGCAATTAATATAGAAGATAGGCAGAAGAATAAACGTTTGGTTAGTTGTCAAAATTTTAGGTGAATGACATTTGACAAATATGAAAAAGAAACGTATTTCAGATGTTTACTTTAAGGCAAAAGGCAAAAAATTAAGTTAATATGCACCTTTAATTTCACATAACCTACACAGAAAGATGCAAGTTTTCCTGTGGTTTCCCCACAATGAAGAAAGGCATCACTTAAATTTGACTCTACCCTCAGGCTGATGGCTGCAGAAAGTCAATTAATGTTAGAATCGCAGGGCCCAATCTTATAATAGAACAGTTCAAACTAACCCTGGACCTAAACAGAGGATAAGACACATCTGATGAAATTGTAAAAAGATTCTACCTCACCTACCTTCTCCTCAATCACAGTGCAGGCTTCTTCTGAACCACAGAAACCCATTTGTATGTTAATGAGGAAAAAGACCATTTTAAAACCAACCCCATTTCCCATTTTCCTGTGGCATTCATTTTTCCACCAGTCCACAGTAAACATGAGGAGAACCATCAGGGTGCTGAGGTGGCCACTAGTGAGGACACCTCAGAACACCACATTCAGCGTGTGACCTCTCTGACCCCTACACCCAGGTCCAGGCTGCGTTTGGCTGCTCACCACAGCACTTTGATGGTACCCACATGTTTACTTTCTTCAGTAGAAATGGGAAACACATGGTGAATTGGGCGAGATGGAGAGGGGGAGGCCAAATACAAAATGCTGAATGTTGGGAAGAAGCCAGGAATGTCTGGTACATTTTGGCCAGCCCAGGCCAGATTCTTCCTTTCTTTCCTTGTACAGCCAAAACTTCAAGAATGATATTTAAAGTTGTTCCAAGTACAATTGAACCAAGTTTGTTACAAATACTGAAACTAAACCCATGATTCAAACAGGACTTGTTTTGTTCTGCTTGAATGTTCTGGATTCACATTTGTTTGGACAAAACACCTACATAATTTTTGTGGTGCAGTAGAATACTTTCACATGTATATACATATACATGTATGTCAGACATGAGCAGTTAACAGAAAGTAGTGTGATCAAGCAGATAAAGCATGAGAAGTGTGCAGCAGCCCAGAGAGCAAGAGAGGGGAGAGTGGAGGGAGAACTTACAGCCACACTCAACACTACAGGCCAAGCTACTCCTCTGCTGCCTTTGTGCCCCGCAGACTGCCTTTCTTACGCATCTAGGCAAAATTAGAATGAAAGCAATCACAGAAATAATCATGGTTTGTTACAGCTCAGAGATGTAGAGTTATACTGATTATATAGATTTTTTAAAAGCACAAAGAGTATGAAGATGAGCTCTTGATTTGTTCATTAATGAATGAAATTTTAGCATTTGAGCAACAGCACTTTTCTAATTTCTACTCACCTCATCCAGCTCCTTTTGAGTCTCTGCCTCCATTCGTCTGATGTCATCCATAGTCAGCTCCACCCACTTATCGATCCAGCAAAAGAGCTGGCGGTGAAAGTTTGTGAAGATTCTCTTCTCTTGCTGAAAGACAACATAGACAGTTAAACAATATTATATGTACTGAACTGACTCATTTGTCCCATAATGTAGAGCTGTAAGCACAGACCTCATGAATGAAGTTCTCCACTTTGGTCTGCAAGCCCCACCACTTAAACTTCACCGTCACCAGCTTGTAGGCACACATCTTTGGGCAATTCAGTTCTTTCTGAAATGAGAAACAAATTGGCATTTAGCAGATTTATCATGCAAATTAGAAAAATCACTTAGAAATAAATGGGAATAAGTGAAGATGACTGCAGACTAATACTGGACACTTTTAAATCTTCATATGATAATATATAATACTTTTGGGGAAGCAGCATGATGAAATAATTATCACTATGAAAAAATGACACACTTTAAATTGCAATGTGTTTTTGAAAGTGAAAGGCAGCTTGCTCTGAGCACTGCTTAGAAGAGGAGAGGGTTGAGGTGGTGGCAAAGTGTATCTAAACTCTACATGAAGAGCCCATTTGGCAGCCTCCGCCCCAACAGCGACACGCTTCCCAAAAGGAAAGCCTTTGTGGCCGCGGAGGCAGAAGAAACAGCTCCTGTAAAGTGAGAAGGGTGCAGCGCAGCAAAGCTGCTTACATTATTAACAGCGAGGCCCTGCTCGCCCTCCGAGAACACCTGTTTAATTAATCACTTGATTCTGGCTCGGCATTCTCCAGAAATGCCACAGACCCGCCTCAATCACCCTCATCCCACCGCCGTTTGATGCTGCGATCATGGAAGTGCGGCAGAGGAAACGAGACGCAGTTCTAAATTTGCAGTGGGTTTAGAAAAGTTGTCATCGCTAAAGGAGAACTTCACATGAAACGGATTTGACATCAAAACACTTACGGTGACATTTCTTCTCTGCCTCTATGTGCCCCACTCAAAGGAGCACAAGTTTTCAGAAATACAAAGGGTACTGATATGCGAGCATGTGTGCATGCAGAGATAGACAAGAGTTTTATTGCTCTGAGAAGCTGGCAGAAATTGTGCCTCTGTTGTCACATAACTACTTTTTTCACCTTTTCAAAACAGTCTTTTTCCATGTCCACAGCGGACGAGAAAGTGATCTAATTAAAAACACAAAATGCAAAGTTGTGCTTCTTTATTCAGAGTTTTTAAAAGCTGCCTTTGTTCTTTCAAATTCTTTCAATGTTTTGAAGCAGAGGAAACTTTCCTGTGGTGAACTTTGAGGGCTCCACCACAAAAATAAAATGCTCCATGTTTCTAGACGGAGCAGGACCTACTTCTGAAGCTTCAGGTTAAAATTGGTTTACACAGAAAAGTAATACAATTTATGTCCGTGGCTTATTATTGGCATTTTCTTTGTATTACATATGTGAACCACTCCCAGTGTATTCTACATAAAAATAGTTCAAAGTTCAATAGAGGTCTTATGTTTTTTCATTGATAAATCAACACACATGGAATAGACACAAATTAATTTGAGGTTTCATGAGCTCTCAGTCAGTACCTTCCAGTTGGGTCCAAGCGGTCCTCTGCCAGTCTTCACTGACTTGAATATGGCCGGGTCCTCATCAGCTTTATAATCCTACAAGAATAAAACAGGAGTGTGTACAACTGTATTCCAGTGGGATTGTGCCATCGCTAACATTTGGAGTTTAACTCCCCTTAAGATTTAATACATCCTATTATATAGAAGGCTATCATGTAGTCTGCACCTGATTTTTAACAGTTATACCTCGCCATGGTAACTTGTATATTCCACACAAAAGGAGGAAGTATTTGAATATAAAAAAAAAGAGAGGGGAAAAAAAACAGCAATACAAATAAATCAAATGACTTTCAAATTATCAACAGCTCAAGGGCCCAGCAATTTTAAATAAATCATGATGTGCCTGCAGCTAAAAGCTACTTTTCAGGGCTATTGGACAACAGGAGGGGGTCTGGTGCGTAGCTGGAGAGAGAACACCACCTCTACATACAAAGCACACACAATTATTTGCAGTTTTAATGCAGAAAGCTCCATCACTGTAACAATCGGCTGCAGCGCACTAATGAGCTCTGTGAGTGCTGGGAAGACGAAGCGCACCTCTCCTTTGGTAAGATGAGTCTGTGTGTGTGTGTGTGTGTGTGTATGCGTTTGGTTGGTTCCGGCGTAAGCAGCAGTGTGCGCCTTAATTACACTAACAAACTCATGTGTGCTGGCGGTCCGCCCCAGGCCCTGCAGCCATGCCTCAGGCTCAGGGCTGATAGGGCCCTCAGACACAACACACACGTCCGCCTCGTTAGCCCCACCGCAAACAAACACACACACACACACGCATACAGGCACACACACAGTTGCTGCAGCCAAATGAGGCAATGTGATGTCGAATAACAGCAATCATGTGTAAGCCCTTCAAATAAGACTTCAATGATTCAAAGAGGAAAACTTGGAATATTGCAACTTGTATATAAATATATTACAGAGGCAACTTTAGGAATCCAATCAGAGATGGTAAACAAACATTTCAAAGACTTTTTGTGTGTATTGGCTTATACACTGTTACATGTATAACATCAAATGTCAAGCAGTTTTCAATTAAAAATGAATTAACTGCAATCACAATGGGAAAATTACATTTACTCCTCGGAGGACCATGAGCTAGTGCACTCCTTGTGCCAGTGCCACATCAGAATAAATTGTTAGCATAAAATATGTTTAAAAATTAATCAATAAAAATAATTGATCTGGCATAAAATTACACCATATCAAAAGAAAACTGGTATCTTGACAAAAATTAAATAAAAAATCTCAGCCATAATACAAACTTTAAAGCTGTTAAGGTTTGTTCTGAAGGTTTGTTCAGAAGTAAGAATATCTCAAAGTCCACACTGTCCCAATGAAAGGGCACATTATTTTCACATTTCCTTTAAACTTTTAGACAGGTTTGACAGCCATCTGACTTCTTTCTAATATGCACTGATGAATTTAGGTTTTTAGCCTATGACATAATAATATTGAGATCTTTTTGTGTGCAGTCAATACTTACGGCAGTAGACACCTGTGATCTGTCTGCAATGTCAATGGGCACAACCACTCTGGACGCCAGTGTCTCCTTGTCCAGTTTGTGCACCTGCAAGTGAAGAGACCAGTTACACCACGTTCAGTCCTGCTAGTATGGGGACGATGGGAAAAACTGATATATGGAAAAATGCAGATGCTTACATTTTCTTGCACACCAAGGTCTGGTTTGTGCCATGTTACAATTTCTAAGTGGAAATTTTCTTTCATATAGTCATTCTAAAACAAGAAGAAAAACTTTGTAACTTGAACATAGATTTGCAAAATATTACAAAATAGATCAAAAGAATTAAGCTTACTGTAACGACTGGATAAAGGATGGAATGAAAAAACAAATATATTAGTACGTTTGGAAAGCCACATTGTTTTATATGAACACACAATGTTTTGTTACTGTACACTACACAGTAGACACTCACCTGTTCTGCAGTAGGGGTAGGCGTTCCAGGCTTCTTCATGAAAAACAAGGGAGCCTTCAGGAGCTATGAGCCTCACAAAACTGGGGACTTTACTGAGAGGGTAAAACACAAAGATTCAAGTCACAACTTACTACCAATACAACATTACCCTCTAGTGGTAGCATGGAGAAATCACAATTGGAAGAAAATGAATTGCCTTACCTTTGTAAATGATATTTTTTGAGTGTATACTGTCCTTTTTGGCCATCTTTTTCATAAGGCTCATTCTTAAGCACCTCAATCCCTTCTCCTCCACCGGTTTCATTTTTACTTGCTTCAGCCACTGAGAACAACTGGCCAACTTGATACTGAAAGAAAAGTAGCACAAGACACACATTGCTAGAGATAAACCCATGGTAAAGAACATAAAAACTGATCCAGCTTTTTCAGTCCTGATACCAGTTTTGACACTATAGCTTTATGTATCTGAGGTTACCCAATATCCACTAATACAAATGCAGAGACTTAAACTATTTCTTTAAAACATAAATAAAGACAGAACTGATCCAAATGTGTTACGTAGCTGTCATTTATCCCTCAAGTAATGGCAAAACAACTTTGTATAAATAAAAGAAACAGATATACAATTTTCAGAATCAGCACAGATACCGTACAACTATCGGATTGGTGCACCCCTAGAGACCAGTGTCTGTAAAAAATATATATATATTATTGAATTTTTTCTAATCATCACTATCATTTTCTCTAACAAAATCAGTATCATTTTCACGATCAAAATGATAGTAACATTGGATGCACTCAAAGATCCTCCACTTGTGTGATTGGATCAGTATGACGGTGAATGATCAGTTGGATAAGACCAGTACGCAAGAGACCGTGAGAAACTGTCTAACTAATCCATTTATTTTTAAAGAGATGTATGCAATTGCTAATTGACACTGGAGACAGAATTCTAGTGTATTTTATTATTCAGATGAAAAAAAACAAACAAAACAAAACAGTTAAACACACACTGAGGTAACAACTCAAAAGTGAGTTCAATGTGCTTAATAATACAGTACTCAAACAGTACTCACCTCCTCAACACTACAGGGTAAAATGACACGGCTGCAAAAAGAACACGGAGAAGTTGTGAAATTTTAACATGAATATGACAAAGAGTTAAACACACTATTAACTATTACTACCATTATTAATTAACACTTTTATTCTGATACATAGTGAAAGAAATTGTACATTTTCTTTGAGAATAGATAATGCAAATGCTTAGTGAGAATAGGCTTAATGACATAAAATGAGCCCTTTGAGGCTTGGCCATTGCATCATAAACAAACCCTGTGTTCATCACTGACCACTAACCACACAGGGCTTAGGCACCTGCGGCAGAGGAACCTAGAGCTGCATGCATTCGTCACATGCACTTGAGTCTCTTTTTAAGAACATCTCTTTGGATCAAACAGATGGAAAAATGTGACATTTTTTGTGACATTTTACCCAACACTTTATAATATCAGTCTAAATGCCACAGCAGAGTTTGATCTGAATCTTTTGACTAAAGATATAAGAAGGATATGAAAGGAAATAAGCTTCTTTGCTCTCAGTCAAATAATCAAAATAAATCCTTAACAATTGTTAATATAAAACTTTTGCCTTATTCACTGGCTAAAATAAGATAGTACCAAAATCTATTCCATGACATCTCTCTAACAAAACCTTCTTTACTGAAGACTTCTTAGAACATATTACAAATTTAGGGTGATTGTATTATTCTGTGTAGTGTAAACAATTGAAACATCATAAGCCACTCCGTTCAAATAGGATTACATTGCCCGAGGCCATAGAGAACCAAGATCGCCATTCAACAGGTAGTCAAGCCAGGATTAAGTTTAGTTTAAGCGTGCTAACAATGTTTAAATTCTTCATAGCAACTCTGCACATCTGTTTATGTAATCCAAATTAAAGCACTGAGTCACCGAGTTAGCATTTAGCTCTGCCTGCCCATGTAATGTTTCAGCTACAACCAGGAAGGGATTGCTTTTGTGAATGAAAGAAATACTACAACAGCTACATGTTTCTATACAGGAACAATTACTTTATAGTCTAAGTATAACCAACAGATGTTTTGTCTGTTGTAAAGTGTCGCAAAAGGTTAGTAATCGACACACACTATCCTAGGGTCAACGTTAGCTACACAAACTGCTAATATGACTTAGCCGCTATGTGATTTCATAGATCGGGATAACATTTTAAGATGGGGTTAGCTGGAGAAAGCTGAACAACGTCATGAATGTCCCGTATTGAAAATGTTCAGAACCCAAGTACTCATTCTGTTTATTTCAGTAAAATGTGGACAGCTGTCATAATAATGGTGTGAAAAGCGCCGGTAGGCCACAGCAGTTTGAGCAATCCCACCCTTTCCTCCCTCGTGTGTCTAACGGTGCACCCGAGCACCTCTTTGTATTCCGCTTTTTGAGAAAAACACGAAAACCTTTTAACAGCACATCAAACAATATGCCAAATAGATGACAAATGATCGGTTATAAGAAGTAGTGCACTTACTATTCCTTGATGAGGACCATCGTTGCTCAGTGCAGAGTCGACTCCAGTCCACGGCACTTCCCAGAGACCGAGCTGCTTATCGAGGCTCACGTCACTACACCTCCCCTACACCTCCCCTACACCTCCCCTACACCCCCCTGCCACCTCCCTACACCTCCCCTACACCTCCCTACACCTCCCCTACACCTCCCCCTACACCTCCCCTACACCCCCTACACCCCCCTACACCTCCCTACACCCCCCTACACCTCCCCTACACCCCCCTACACCTCCCCTACACCTCCACTACACCCCCCCTACACCTCCCCTAGCGCCGCGGGACCCCACTCACAACAGGCAGTAGCACTACTCAAAAGGAATAATCCGGCCTCTTTAAAATTGACTGCATACAGTCGTCTATATGAGATTATTAGAGGAATGAAAGAAAACAAACTAAACTTTGTATAAAATGTAAACAAATGATTGGGCAAATTTATAGTAATATATCACATTTGGTCAAATTATTTTTTATATTTCATTTCCCCCCAACTAGGCTATTAAAGACAAAGTGAAGTAACATGAATTGACTGACGTCAGAAATGTCCATCCATCCATCCATTTTCGTCCGCTTATCCGGGGCCGGGTCGCGGGGGCAGCCGCCTAAGCAGGGACTCCCAGACTTCCTTCACCCCAGACACGTCCTCCAGCTCCTCCGGGGGGACCCCGAGGCGTTCCCAGGCCAGCCGAGAGACATAGTCCCTCCAGCGTGTCCTGGGTCTTCCCCGGGGCCTCCTCCCGGCGGGACATGCCCGGAACACCTCCCAAGGGAGGTGCCCAGGAGGCATCCGGAACAGATGCCCGAGCCACCTCAACTGGCTCCTCTCGACGTGGAGGAGCAGCGGCTCTACTCCGAGCTCCTCCCGTGTGACTGAGCTCCTCACCCTATCTCTAAGGGAGCGCCCAGCCACCCTGCGGAGGAAACTCATTTCGAGCGCTTGTATCCGCGATCTCGTCCTTTCGGTCACTACCCAGAGCTCATGACCATAGGTCAGAAATGTCATGGTCATAAATTGAGAGGCTATGGTAATTAATGAGAATGGATAGGATTACCAATGAGTAGTCTACATCTGAGGCCCCACATATTTTAAAGAAATTGTCAGGCGAAATGAGATTTGTGTTTGTAAAATTAGGCCTAATGTATATTCAGGATGCCACTTACAGCAGTGAAATGAAAGCTATCAAAACCTGAAAGGCACCACCTAAAGAGTCAACTAAACAAACAAGCAAACATGATTTTTATTGAAACAGTTTACTGGTAAACAACAGATGGTTGTAATGAAACTTCCATTTAACTCTAAAAAAACATGGGCAAAAAACTTATACATTATACTTAACAGTGATTAGCAAGATAATCCATGCTTCAAAGCAGACACGCAATTCACAAAGAAACCAGGCAAAATGCCTGTTTGATTTCAATATAAAATATGAATTATCCCCCCACTATTGAATTTACAGGGTGCAGGTTTGCTTATTTTTTATATTATAAAAACGCTTATTACTGATTGTGAAACACTGTAATTAATTTACAAAACAAAATATTTTTATATTAATAATAATAACAAACAATAATAGCAATTACAATAAAATTTAAAAACAACATAACATAAAGGAAACCAGTCAGAGTTGTTGCATCTTGGCCCACACAAACAGCAAAGATTTTCTGTGAAAATACCAAATGGCATTTACATTTACCTGACACACAGTTATAACACAAACACAGTATCAGGTCATTGAGTATTTCTCATTGCCATTTACAGTGTTACGGGCACAAAGAAAACACACTCTGGAAAGCATTCATGTGCCTATGCAGGGTCATGCTCAATGACCAGCAAATCCTTCATGGACCAAACCAAATCCTCCTGCTCCTGCTTAAGTCATTCATAAAAGCATAGGACCATTTCAAAAGTTCAGCATTTAGAAGAAGGGAAAAATCTTCCAGGTGACAGGAACTTGTATCCATTACCAGCAGGTAGTCGAAATGAGCGAGCCCCAGGGCTACTGCTAGTTGAAATAGTGGGAGAGGGGGATACTTTTCTAGGGTTGGAGCAGTGTCCATTGGAAGAGTTTTTGTTGCTCCCTTCTAAATCTCGCAGCTCCAGGCTGTCGGATGTCTCGCTGGGCGAGCAGTGGCGTGGGGACAGGTTTAGGAGGTTGAGTACATCTCGACTGGCAGATGTCAGGGGTCCAGACGCACTGTGCACAGCTCTGAGAGGACCCAGAGGTTGCTGCTGGCCTGAAGCATTTGTCCAAAAGGTTTTTAGATTGTGTATAGCCTGAACTTTCTCATCAATGACTCCTCTTCTTAGTCGATCCAAGTCTGGGGCATCTGCGGATGTGGAGCATGCCGACCCTGTGGAGGAGTAGGACAGAGCCGGGGACGGAGCACTGCCAGCTGGAGACTGGTGACCAGAACTGGGGGAGATGTTACTAGGGGAACGAGAGATGTGACCACTATAAGGGGAGCTTGGATATTTTAGTTTGAATTGTGCACTACTGTCCAATGTGGGTGATGGATGACTGCCCTCCTTTTGAGAAGACTCAGAGACAGCAGGGCTGTTATAGCCAGAGCTTATCTTTTGTAGGGAGGAGGAACGGGAGGGAGGTTTTGGCCTGGGAGATGAGTGAGCACGACCACTCGCACTACTGTTTGGACGGCTGAAAGCACTAGTTTCAGAAGAGCGGAAGGCGCTGCTGCGTGCTGCAGTTACTCCTGATGTCGCACCCTCTGGCCTGACCCGCTGGAGGCTCCCCACTGCCCTGAGGTGGGTGTGGGTTTCCTCTAAAATCTTCTGGGCCAGTTCCTGAGGATCTAAAGGGACAGCCTTTTCTTCCTGAGACTTGACAGTGCTGTCAGTCTCAGTGCTAGACTGGTCTGACTCCCCTGTATCAGAGGTGTTCGCTTTGCTCACCTTCTGGAAGGGGGAGTTTGGGCTGGGCACGAGGCTGGTCTTTACAGGGGATGTGGGGGTGCTCACACTACCTCTGGATGACACTGACACAGTATAGCCCCGCCCAGCTCCGCTGGAGGCACTTAGCCCACGGCCCCCTCTGTGGCGCTGGCTGTGCCCTGGTGGCAATGGCAGAGAGTCGCAGTGGCTTCCCAGAGGTTCACTGCTAATAATAGAGAAGCCTTCATACTCCTCCTCGTCTCCTCGGGCTCCAGCTACAGAGGCGGCTGCCCCATGAGGAGAGGAGCGACTCCGAGGGATGTGATGCTTGTGGGCAGAATAATATGCTGTGGCACCACCACGCTGCCGATGTGCAAGAAAGTCACAGTCTGATTTGGAAGCAAAGCTCATAGAAGATGCAACAGAGCTGAGGCTATACACAGAAATGGCATCTGAGGCCTGACTGTCCAGGCAACTCGGAGAAAATGGGAGGCTGGAATATCCCAATGGCAAAGGATTGGACACAGACTGAGCTGAGGCCAGAGACTCCAGGGAAGACGAGCTGTCCAAACTCAAGCGCTTAGGTAATTCAGTGGAGTCTACAGCAAGAGACAGAGAAAATATTCAGATTTCATGCACAGTAGTCTAGCACTATATGTAGCATTATGAATAAACACAACCCAAAAACTGCAAGTACACACCAAAGAGAGCCAGCAGAGACTGGAGAGCAAAGTGCAAGGTGCGGCGGTTGGCTAATTTGCCTGTCTTCAAGATGACTTCTTCTTGGCCTACCTCACATAAGTCAAATCCTGAACAACAAGACAAGAGGAGGAACAAGACACTATAATTATTAACAAGTTAAAATTGACTATGTTACAAGTATGGTGACCTACCAAGAGCAGCAAGAAATTCATGACATCCTGGAAGTCTCCATAGCTGCACACTAATGGACACTTGAATGGGTAAGAGGGAGAAATCCTGCTCCTTTTCCCCAGTCTGAAGTTGAACCAGCACTTGGTGGAGCTAAAGAGCAGAAGAGCAGGAAGAATCAGACAAACTGCTCACTGCTTCAAAATGTAAAATTTGTATTATTATAAACAGATACATTTTAATTATCCAGACAAAAATATTTTCTGGACTAGTTGAGTTTGGAAGGAGGTGGGGTTTCAGAGTGGCCTCAGAGCACACTTGATACATTGTGTGGGGATTTTATGACTGGAAACAAAGAAATCTCTGTCACAGTGATGTAACAGCTAAGAATGTAAAAGCAGGTTCTAGTCATTACTAAGTACTGCTCAACAGAGGCTACTTTTACGTCATACTTTCCCTCTAACCTCCAATGAACCCTAGTTTGACTAATCCTAGATATGAGAAAGTAGTAGCAGCAGAAATAAAGACATACAATAATAACCAAAAAAAGAACAGAAGAACAACATGAGCCAGCTAATTTCTAGAATATGATTCATACGTGTTAATGGTACAGCAAGTTAAACATTAGTTAGAGAGAGGTTTGTGAAAGCACACTTACCATTGCCACCATATTTTTAACAGCCTTTAGAGTTCACATTGGGAGCAGGAAATGAGAAAAGGACTTTAATTACATGCATACAGATCATTCCCTACAAATAAATGGTTCAATCCAGACATGATCCAACTAACAATAAAGCATAACGGACATTGTGAAACTCAACACTTGTAAGTCACATGCCATGTGTAGCTGGGGATAAACTTCAGAAGCATTATTTTCATCTAATATCACGAGTTAGTGTTAAAGAGATCAACAGAAACATTGTGGCAAGGATTTACTAAGTGCTTGCAAACAAAACGTGACGACATGAGCATTACAGAGCACATGTTTGTTGGTATAATCTTCTGATGTAAAATACTGTGAGTGAAAGTGTTGTAGATGTATATGTGACATTTAAATTGGGGTTGAAAAGACCTACCCGGTTAATTAGCTGCTCTCCAGCCTCTGATGCTGTTATGAGTTTACACAAAGCTTGCAGAGCTGGGGGTGGTAGCCCTGCAGGCAAAAGTTACAAGAAAAGTAAACAACACTGATTTGTGAAAAGTATGCATAACATGGTAGTGACAAAGTTGGTGTAGAGCAGCTGTCACATGCACTTACCTAGTAGTGACTGTAATGTGTTACTGCACTGCTGAAGCCTGTCTCCTGGGTCAGCGGTGGG